CGTTAGTCCTGTGCACGACGGTCGCGCGTTAGATTTTCTTCCTTCGTAGCAGCAGCAGCAGCAGCAGCAGCAGCAGCAGCAGCGGCGGCGGCGACGACGGCGATCGGTTTCGCTTTTTCTTTGAACGAATACACGTTTACCCATCGACGCACGGGATACATGCGTGTGAGCGCGCGCGCGTCATTCTCTACGTGAAAGAAAAGGTCGATGACAATGCAACGAGTCCAAGATCAAGACAATGGGATCAACATCAAATTCGGGGCGAGGGAAAAAGGGAAAAAGGGGGATTACATGCTCGTGTCGCAGCACTCGGAGAAAGAGAAGAGTAACAATGTCAATGGGACCAACAAGCAGAGTGAGTTCTTTCTTTTTATCAGATTGCTTCTATGCCAGAGGCAAAACAACGGGTTTTGTGAATAATTTCTTGTTTATGGAAATGTTTGGGAGCCCGTTGCCGTACTGCTTCTTAGGGTATTCTAAAATTAAAAACGTTTTAACGTTGCACTGCTGTGTGTACTGGTCAGTTAAAAATAGAACACACCATAATTCTTATGCCGTACGAAAGAAGAAGATGAAAGTAAGACGAATTACTTTGCATTTTAGTTAAACACGTAACAGCCGAGGAAGAGTTAGTCCCACCAGATGGAGGATGGGGATGGCTTGTACTTTTAGCGTCTGTCATGGTCAATCTTCTCATCCCAGGGACAGTGAAATCTTTTGGTGTCTTGTTTGTTGAATTCCTTGAGGTTTTCGACGCGTCACCTGCTGCAGCTGCTTGGATACCAGCTCTGTGTTATTTTCTGTACAGTTCCCTGGGTAACTAATTTTCCAGAAGTATCATTGAATTTCGTTTACTTTGAACTGAAAGATAAATTTATGCGATTCTTGTTGTAGGTCCACTTTCCAGTGTGCTGTCAGTGAAATATTCCTATCGAACTGTAACACTTCTTGGCGGAACATTTGCAGCTGTGGGAATGATGTTAAGTTACTTTGCGAATTCTGTGGCCTTTTTGTGCATTAGGTAATTACATGAAAAAGGAAAGAAGCTTTAATATATTGCTTGATAAATCAAATATTATTTAATATTTATAATCTTCAGACAAAAAGATATAATTTAATCTCCTTGTTTTATTTTTAGTTATGGAGTCCTGGTAGGAACAGGAGCAGGATTAGCTTTCCCGCCAACCGTGTACATTGTAACTTCTTATTTTGTACGACTACGAGGGCTTGCAAATGGTCTCTGCATATCTGGTAGTGCACTAGGTTCGATATTCCTTCCTCCCATCCTAGGAATTCTTCTTCGAGAATATGGATACAGGTATGTTATTTTGCTGCATTTATGATTCAACAGGTATGATTTTATTTTCTTGATAAACGTTGAATTTATGATCAGTTGAAAAACATTACTATCGGGGAACTTGTTTCATTAAATTGTTTATTTAACAATATCACGTTTACTTACGATATCATGTATTAATATTCATTTGTATATGTTTATGTTCCAAGATACAATTAAGTCTTGCAATTTTCTAAAGAGAACATCAAAATTGAAATACATTTTAATACGTTAGTTTCAATCAATTTTGACAAAATTCAATTGTACATACATGTGATTTGTGACCTTTGATCGTCCAATTTTATGTAACTTTGTAACGCCAGGCGCGTGTTACAAAAATTCAAGAGATTTGTGTATTTTTTTACGTGCGTTTTCACGTTCCCGTGAGGATCTGTAAATAATAGTGTTACTGTCGTAATATTTTGTGAAGATCGTTTCCGGTGAGTACTAATATACATCATTACTACAATTTAATAAATGAATGTGAAGATGACTGATATGCATGCACAGCTCTCCCTTCATGAGATGCTCAGATAAATCACGCGCGTGCATTTGTGTACACAACGCTATTGTACATCCCTGCAAAATTTACAGCTTCAAATTAGCTGTTTTACGGCGTTTCCATCAAACGCGTTGTTACTAAAGATAACGAATGTTAACCGTTCGACGTTTCCACGGTAATGTATACAGACGTGTGAGGGCATTTAGAAGAAGCTCTCTAGATCCGCAACCAAATTACACACATTCTGCCATTATAACACGTTGACTGCCACGCGAAAACGTCTACAAATTTTCACTGGACCGAAACTAGTCTCCTTCTTCTTCTTCTTCTTCTTCTTCTTCTTCTTCTTCTTCTTTTTTTTTTAATG